TGTGTGTGTCTGTCTCTGATGCGGTGTGTGTGTCTGATGATGCGGTGTGTGTGTGTGTGTCTGTCTCTGATGCGGTGTGTGTGTGTGTTTCCTGTGGTGTGTGTGTGTGTCTGTCTCTGATGCGGTGTGTGTGTGTGTGTGTGTGTGTCTGTCTCTGATGCGGTGTGTGTGTGTTTCCTGTGGTGTGCGTGTGTGTCTGTCTCTGATGCGGTGTGTGTGTGTGTTTCCTGTGGTGTGTGTGTGTGTCTGTCTCTGATGCGGTGTGTGTGTGTGTGTGTGTCTGTCTCTGATGCGGTGTGTGTGTGTTTCCTGTGGTGTGTGTGTGTGTCTGTCTCTGATGCGGTGTGTGTGTGCGTGTGTGTCTGTCTCTGATGCGGTGTGTGTGTGTGTTTCCTGTGGTGTGTGTGTGTGTCTGTCTCTGATGCGGTGTGTGTGTGTGTGTGTGTGTGTGTGTGTCTGTCTCTGATGCGGTGTGTGTGTGCGTGTGTGTCTGTCTCTGATGCGGTGTGTGTGTGTTTCCTGTGGTGTGTGTGTGTGTCTGTCTCTGATGCGGTGTGTGTGTGTGTGTGTGTGTGTGTGTGTCTGTCTCTGATGCGGTGTGTGTGTGTGTTTCCTGTGGTGTGTGTGTGTGTCTGTCTCTGATGCGGTGTGTGTGTGTGTGTGTGTCTGTCTCTGATGCGGTGTGTGTGTGTTTCCTGTGGTGTGTGTGTGTGTCTGTCTCTGATGCGGTGTGTGTTTCCTGTGGTGTGTGTGTGTGTCTGTCTCTGATGCGGTGTGTGTGTGTGTGTGTGTGTGTGTGTGTGTCTGTCTCTGATGCGGTGTGTGTGTGTGTGTGTGTTTCCTGTGGTGTGTGTGTGTGTGTCTGTCTCTGATGCGGTGTGTGTTTCCTGTGGTGTGTGTGTGTGTCTGTCTCTGATGCGGTGTGTGTTTCCTGTGGTGTGTGTGTGTGTGTCTGTCTCTGATGCGGTGTGTGTTTCCTGTGGTGTGTGTGTGTGTCTGTCTCTGATGCGGTGTGTGTGTGTGTGTTTCCTGTGGTGTGTGTGTGTGTCTGTCTCTGATGCGGTGTGTGTGTGTGTGTTTCCTGTGGTGTGTGTGTGTGTCTGTCTCTGATGCGGTGTGTGTTTCCTGTGGTGTGTGTGTGTGTCTGTCTCTGATGCGGTGTGTGTGTGTGTGTGTGTGTTCAGGCGAGAGCTGGAACCCGCTGAAGCTGCACTATCAGATGCGTAACGTGCGCGAGCGTCTGGCGAAGAGTCTGGTGGAGAAGGGCGTGTTGACGACGGAGAAGCAGAACTTCCTGGTGTTCGACATGACCACACACCCGCTGACGGACGGCGCGGAGAAGCAGCGGCTCGTGCGGCGGCTGCAGGACACACTCCTGGAGCGCTGGACCAACGACCCGCTGCGCATGAGCCGGCGCGCGCTGGCGCTGGTGCTGCTGGCACACGTGTCCGACGTGCTGGAGAACGCCCTGTCCTCGCTGCCCGACGAGCGCTACGAGCTAGCCAGCACGCGCTCGCGGAGCCTGACCGAGGCCGAGCCGGAGACGGAGAGCGCGCGGGTCACGACCCCGGCCGAGGAGATGATCTGGGCCGTTCTGGCCGCGTTCAAGTCCTGAGAACGCAAGCAGCGCCACGACCGCCAGTCTCTCGTGACTCCAGCGCTGACGGGAGTTTAGCTCATCGCACACTGACTGACATCCAACACTGAGTGAGCTACCCTGCAGTTCCTCCACTGGCCACTAGAGGCCGGCTGCAGAAGAGACTCAGTCCCATAGACCCGCATGTTAAAATGCCCAACTTTACAGCAGAAAAACACATGTTTACAGTCTGGGGCAAAAAGTGCTTTTGGTCTATATCGCTAATGTTGCCCTTCATGACGACCGTGAGGGGGGGGAATGTTTTTATAACTCATCCGTTTAAATTATATTAAGCCATAAAGTTCTGCATAATTAAGGGCGTGGCCACTTGAGTGACAGGTGGATTGCCGCTGATGTCACTGCTAGTGTTTGTCTGCTAGCGTTAGCGTCACGTCTCCTCAGCTAATCCGCCTCGCTGCACATGTTCGTTTATCCGGGAGTGACGCGGCCAAGATGGCGACGGCCGGCTCCGCCCACTTTAAGAAACGCTCTTCATAAACCCGCGGGTGACGTCACACACACTACACACATATTAATCACAGAACCTCGAGCTCATGTGCAGCGGCTTCAGTAACTGCAGCTAACATGCACATCGCGGCCGATACAACTGGAATAACATCAAAACTAGAGCCGGGCAACGAGTAATCACATCCAAAATCTAAGTTTGTGTTTCCATTATATATGTGTGTGTGTGCTGTGTATAATTATTTTATATATAAATACACACACATGCATGTATATATTTAAGAAATATTTGCATGTATATACTGTATATATATATTTATAAATAATAAATAACACATTTTTCTTAAATGTATACATACATGCATGCACACACATATTATGGAAACACAAACTTTGATTTTGGATGCCATTACTCGTTGCCCGGCTCTAATAAAAACAAACTTATTTTATTTCAGATAGTTGCCAGCATTTCTCAGTTGTTTAGTTTTACTTGAAGCGCCAAAATAACTAAAACTGAAATCAATTCAAAACTTTAAAAAAATAAAATAAAATAAAATTACTAAAACTTTAAATTTAAAATGAAAGATATTAATAAAAATATAATGGTATGTTAATGACACTAGTAACACTTTACAATAAGGTTTTATTTGTTTACATAATTTAACTACAATGAACAATGCTTTTGATTAATGTTAATCTCATCATGTACGAATACATTTTTAATATCAGAACTCTGAACGTTAGTGACACACTGTGAACAGCCCTGACTGACGCCTGGCGTGTCATGCGACATCACTTCCTCATCATGTGACATCACTTCCTCATCATGTGACATCACTTCCTCATGTGGCGCTGCTCTCTTCCTCTCTGTGTGTCAATGGTGGCGTCCTAAATCACATTCTCTCTTGAGTCGGGACTTATTTTGAATAAGTAATTACTTCATGACCACTAAAAAGTACATTCAATGTAGAGTGTGTGTGTGTGTGTGTGTGTGTGTGTGTGTGTGTGTGTGTAATCTGGACGTACTACATCCGCCATGATGTCATAATCATGTGACCTACCGTCGCTTCATTGCCGTTCACAGTTCTTGACTCTTTTATCAGTCCTGTGAAGTCAGACACACACACACTTTTGTCAAATGATGTTCTCACACACACTAGTAGGCAGTTTGTGAGGTCAGACACTACAGTCACATGATCTAATAGCTCATTTAGGGAATTATACCTTTATTCCAGACAGATTATACTAGGGGAAAACTAATTTCATTTTAAATGTCTTTATTTATTTAGTAGTTTTTCTTTGCAGTTTGTCTCTGAACCCGGCGTGTGTGTGTGTGTGTGTGTGTGTGTGTGTGTGTGTGTGTGTGTGTGTGTGTGTGTGTGTGTGTGTGTGTGTGTGTGTGTGTGTGTGTGTGTGTGTGTGTGTGTGTGTGTGTGTGTGTGTGCATGTTCTGGTCTAGTGATGTCATTTCCTGTCTCAGGAATACTTGTCTGTGTTTTATGGATTTCTTCTTGTCATCTGGTGATAATCACGTGGGAACGGTTGCGCACTAATGCTGGAAACGGCAAAAAAATATATGTAAAAAAAATGTGTTAATACATTAGATTTGTTAGTCCATAGAATTGAATATGATTAATACAATTATTGCTGTTATTTTATTTGTATTGGTTTGGATGTTTATAATATGAATGATTTTAGATATTTCTGGGATGCATTAAAATCACCATTTTACAGACATTTGATGATAGTTCAGTTTCACACACACACACACACACACACACAACGCTGCACACACACACACACACACACACAACGCTGCACACACACACACACACACACACACACACGACGCTGCACACACACACACACACACACACACACACACACGACGCTGCACACACACACACACACACACACACGACGCTGCACACACACACACACACACACACACAACGCTGCACACACACACACACACACACACACACACGACGCTGCACACACACACACACACACACACACACACGACGCTGCACACACACACACACACACACGACGCTGCACACACACACACACACACGACGCTGCACACACACACACACACACGACGCTGCACACACACACACACACGACGCTGCACACACACACACACGACGCTACACACACCACGCTACACACACACACACCACGCTGCACACACACACGATGCTACACACACACACACACACACTATGCTGCACACACACACAGACGATGCTGCACACACACACACACACACACACACGACGCTACACACACACAAACGACGCTGCACACACACACACACGACGCTGCACACACACACACGCGCTACACACACACGACGCTGCACACACACACACACACACACGACGCTGCGCACACACACACACACACGCACACACACGACGCTGCACACACACACACTATTGCATTATGAATATCATGAAGGGAAGAAGCGGTAGTGAAATAACTTCATGTTCAGTAGTTTAATGTTTAATAAGCAGCGGAGAATGTTTGTCTCTTTTAATCAGCGTGTGTGTATGCGTAATATTCACATAATAATAAATTACTGTTTCTCTGTCAGTCCATTATTTGTCGAATTGAATAAAATATGTTTATATTTTTTCCAGAATTTGTTTGTTCTATTTTTTATTTTATATTGTATTATATATTATAAATATATGTTATGTTTTTTTATTCTATATTATGTTGTTATATATTATATTATTGTATATTATGTTGTTTTGCTGACTTTACTCGCTCAGCTGAGGATCATCTCTGGGGTCAAAGGTCATGCTTATAAAATGTGATTGTTTTCCCTTTGATGTCTGAACAGGGCAGCAGAAGTGCTCGATAAATGCTGTAAATATATGAAATATACGCAGAACATTATTTGGTCCTGTATGAAGCTGTTCTTCTGCAGAACCGATAGCGTTCGCTGCTCACATGTCTCCCACAAGAACAGCGAAGCCACAGGGTCACATGACGAGGCTTTATTGAGCTAGCGGGATATTTCTCGTGCTTTCTGCACCTGAACGCTTTCATTGAGACAAATAAAATCATGTAAGTTAAGCTGAGCTGTTTATTAAGTATGAGTATCACAGATGATTAATACACAGAAAGAAGGAATTCAGAAATCAAGACAAATCCAGACCTGTTGAACCCAACCTTACATTCTCTCTCACTCACTGACACACACACACACACACACTCTCCCACTCCCTCTCTCTACCTCTCTCTCTCCCTTTCTCTACCTCTCCCTCCCTCTTTCTCTCACTCACACACACACACTCTCTACCTCTCCCTCTCACTCTCACACACACACACACACACTCTCTCTCTCCCTCTCTCTCTCTCCTTCTCCCTCTCTCTCTCTCTCTCTCTCTCTCTCTCTCTCTCTCTCTCTCTCTCTCTTTGACGGGTGTGTCAGGAAGTTAAACTTCACTCTCTCTCTGACTGATCAACAGACAACAACACAATGCCTGGAAAGAAAGTTTGTATTATTGGCTCTGGAAACTGGTGAGTTCCTTCTCATATATGATTATGATTATGATGATCCTGAAGCTGTTTGCGGTGACTGACGCAGTGAACACTGAACGCGACGCGACGCCAGACGCGCGACTAGTTTCATTTTCACCGGCGTCTGTTGCGTTTCCACATGTGTGTGTTTGTATATGCGCGCGCATATATTTGTGTGTATGTATGTAAATATGTGTGTGTGTGTGTGTGTGTGTGTGTGTGTGTGTGTGTGTGTCTCTGTCTATATACATGTTCGCTCTTGCAAAAACTACTGTGGTGTTACCATACTCTGATGTTCAAATACCGTGAGTCTTGGATATTTCACTGATTGATTGCCATAATGGTAATTTACCGCTTTACTTTCTAAAAATACCACAGTTCCCCTCACATTCTTGCTAACAAAAATACGTTTGCTAACGTTCCAAGTTATGAAAACGTTATATATTTAAAACATCCAGTTTTGTTTGAACGTTTTTAAGGGAACATTCCATTTTATATAATTCTTCAAACTTAATGGGAACGTTACTTTTTAATGTTCTCTGAACGTTCTGAAACAACAAGTATAACTTTTAAAAAACGTTAGACGAACAAAAATTTTTCGGAAAAAACGGTATTTATCTTTTTGTTCTAACGTTTAGAGAACATTATTAAAGACCAGATACTATGAATGAACCGTGCGTTTGTTCATAACCTTGAGAGAACGTTCCCTGTTCTCTGGGTATATTTCACTAATAATGACTTTCTGAAACATTTTAGTTGGCTGTTCGTCTAACATTTTTTAAATGTTACTTGTTTCAGAAAGTTCAACATTCAAAAGTAACGTTCCATAATGATTGAAGAATGATAAAATTGAATGTTCCCTTAACATTTAATAAACTGGATGTTTTGAACGTTCAGGGAACATTCAGAAATAATGTTTTCATAGCTTAATTGGGTAACGTCAACCGTGGTCCTTGGTTAACTCTTGTTTAGGGTGTGTGTGTGTGTGTTGTTGGTTAGTGATGTGTTTGTGTGTGTGTCGTTGGTTAGGGA